TTTCCACTGGAAATGCCTTTTGGTTAAACTGTCAGCAAGGAATTTGCATTTGCACTGTTAAATTTTTATATAACTTTAATGCAAAAAACGGCTGCTTGTTTAAGTGAAAACACATTGATTTTATTTTTTTTGCACGAATAAAGTTGTGGAGTTGTAAAGTATTTTGTCTAGTGTCGATTATATCGTCAGTTATATCGTTATCGCAAATTTTCAAATGTATATCGTGATAAATATTTTTGGTCATATCACCCTGCTCTAGCCATCCCTCCACTGAGAACATTTCTGATCATCAGAAATGTTCTGTGCAAATGACTTAAAGTCATGTCTTTAAGAAACGGGATTTTTCCTGTTTCTTAAAGACATGACTTTCAGATACTGTTCGTCTGCTGTTGAAAGTCTTAGACCTGCCAGTTATTTTGAGGGAGAGGGATGTTGTTGATGCAGGATTCTAGCTGCTCAGCTGTCCTGGCTTATTCTTCTTTGTCTCTTCTTTCTTATCATGATGCTCCAGATGTTCTCAGTTGGTGAGGGTCACAAAAATAACGCCATAGCAGGCCAGGTCGGCCATGCTTTAACAGATGCCATACATGGGTTAGCATTGTTATGCAAAATATGGAGAGTCGTCTAAAAAAGGTGTCATTTGGATGGACTATCTGTTGGTTTAGAACATGTCTATACCTTTCAGCATTGATGGAGCCTTTCCAGATGTGCCTAATTCCTTTGGTCTTCAGTCAGGAGGATGTGGTGCCCATGTTTTCCAAAAACAATCTGGAAGGGTCTGACCTCAGAACAGTTTCCTACTTTGCTTCAGTCCATTTTAAATGAGCTGTGTTCCAGAGAAGAAGGCAGGGTGTGTGCATCATGTTCACTGGCATCTTCTTTGCAAACACACACATATACGAAAATTTGTGTACATATCACTATGCTCAGTGTTTTGGTGATAGTGTGAAATTGCCACACCCACAGCCTTTATGCTGTCACAGAGAGTAACACAAAGCATGGTTTGCATTACAGTTTCTCTGTTTTTACTCCTATGCACACAATTTTCAGAGCAATAGAACTCCAACTTCTACTTTGGTGATGCAGAAATGAAATCCTGCTGCCGGGGGCTGGTTTGGCTTGCTTCTTACGTATCAGCTCTTCCCAGCAGAGATGAGAGAGCAGAGCAGGCTTTGTGACAGCCCCCAGCATTAGATGACAGCACTGCTGTTAACACACAGCATCTCAGCTGTGTCAGCTGTCCTGAGAGATGATCTGTGCAACTATGAGAGAAAGCGCTCCGTGCTCCTGATACAGATCTGTGTTGTGGTAAAGTGTCAAAAACTGTGATGCTGATCATGCTGATTAAGAAACAGTCTATTACTGACAGAATGTAACAGACTGTAACAGCTAATAGTCTATCAATGTCAGTAGTGTATCAATGCTGCGATTGTCCTTTATTAACTTTTAACTAACAGCATCTGCTGCAACTGGTTGGGAGCGAGGGGAGAAAAGACAAGAAAGACAAGAAAAAGGAATGTTCTTTCTCAGACTCACTGAAAGCATTAGATGATTCAAATCAGCTGGACAGATCGCCAATCGACATACACAAACATATGTTTTATTTGGCACAGGTAAATTATTCAGGCTCATTAAACTGGGATAGAACAGTTCACATGCTTCATACATTTCATTAAATGTACTTATCTCTGGTGATTTAAAGTGAGTGTTCACTTTAAATCAAGTGTGCACCCTCCAAACAACTGTCCAGCATATGCTGCATGGGTGCAGAGTGACAAATGCTGCCTGTTGTCTCCTACATGTTGGAGAGCTGCTCTTTTGTGTGGATCTTTTTCTGCAGCATGTTGACAATAGACAGTGCAGGAAACATGGAGCTAAGACAACAGATCCATTGAGACAGTCGTCAGCGAGACAAAGGAGTCATTGGCTTTACTGATTAACCATCACACAACTAAGTATGAGATCACTGCGATGGCCCAGCCTACAGCAGTGACAAAAGTAGTAGGAGTTACACAATTCATTGCTTCACTCACATTAATATCCAGCCCTTAGACTTCAGTCAGCCTTTGTCTAAACACGCACATTTATCTTAAAGATGATATCAGAGAAGAGAGGTCTTTGTGGTCTTTTGTTCAGTCCGCCATCGTGCAGTTTTACAGTGATTATTTCTGTACCCTAAACACAAAACATACAATTGTGACTTGTACATTCCATCAGAAGCCACGAGTATAAAGAAAGTCTGTCAAGTTCTTCCACACCAAACTCTCTCATGTCTTTACGGGCTTTGCTTTGTGCACTGTATGCAGTCATTTTGGAACAGGAAGGGACCATCCCCAAACGGTTCCCACAAAGTTGGGAGCATGAAATTTCCAAAATGTCTTAGTATGCTGAAGCATTAAGTGTTCCTTTCACTCGAACTAAGAGGTCAAACAGCCCCACAACATAATCGCTCTCCACCAAACTTCACAGTTGGCACAGACAGACAAGTACCGTTGTCCTGACGACCGCCAAACCCACACTCCTCCATCAGACTGCCAGATGGAGACGTGTGATTCATCACTCCAAAGAACACTTCTTTGCATTGTGCTATTTGATGTAAGGCTTGGATGCAGCTGATTGGCCGTGGAAACCCATTCCATGAAGCTCTGACTGTTTATGAGCTAATCTGAAGGACACATGAAGTTTGCAGGTCTGTAGTGATTGACTCTGCAGAGAGCTGCGGACTGTGCACTGTGTACCTCAGCATCCGCTGACCCTGATCTGTAGTCTCGCGTGGCCGACCACTTCACGACTGAGTTGATGTTCCAGTCAGTCCCACTTTGTCATAAGTTCACTGACAGTGTGGAATGTGGAATATTTAGTAGCAAGGACATTGCTACTAAACTGGTCAGCTGGATGGCCCAAAACATTAAAAATCTAAAGACATATGCAGGCTGGAAAAGTGTTGTCCCGGAGGGATGTTGAGCAGTTCAGAGCAGCTGATGTTTGAACAATTGCAGAATTGCACCCTGGTAAAGGAGCCTTCCTACATCGGTCTTATGTTACACTGGACTGCTGTGTGTGTGGAACAATCATTCTCTATGTGTTGGATCAACATGTAACACACAGATGCAGCACACACAGTACGTGGGTGAACGGCTGTTGTCATCAGTCACGCGTGGATCCTGTGTTTGTGTGTGACAGTGTCATATTGTGTCACCTGAGAACGCTCAGAGAAAAATTCTGCGAAGAACTGAGGATGACGCTTAGTTCTTCATCCTTGTTTCGGAGCACAATGCTGTGTGCTCAGCACAGAGAACTTTACAGGAAAACTCATGTACTGCAAACAGCAGCCTCATTCTGCTTTCTCTCCCTCTGTGTTTCTTTGTTAGATCCAGAGAGAAAGCCATGTGCTCTGTCCTGTACAGCCCAATCTTGAACACAACGCAATAACACCATGTACAGGTAAGGCTTACAGACTGTCAATCCACTTAATTTGAAAGGAAGTAACCAGATCTTAACACCAGTTTACCTGCTACCAGTACAGCTGAGCAGAACCCTCAAGAACTCGTATTTAATGTGCTGTAAAATGTGATGGAGATGTGTGGAAACACTTATAATAGTTCCACTGTAATAAGCACGGCTCAAGCTATTTCTGTTTAATTCCATAGTAACATTTGAATCAATCAAACATAAGGAAGAGTGATGATCGCCTGCAAACACTTGAATCAGGGCTGCAAAATGCAAAACCATGTAATAACACGTGATTAGCATTTTGTAGGCTTGAAGGTGGTTTTAAATGCGTTTTGAGTCGAAACACTGATTTCACTGCATCTCTGATGAGGTTCTGTAACGAAAACTTTGCATTAAAATGGATTATTTTATTATTTAATGATAATTTGAGTAGCGTTATCAGTAGCAAGAACCAAAGATTGTTATTAATACATTAAATAGATTATTTAAATAGAATATTTGTATGAATGTAAACACTCACTGAGCCACATGGTACAATTCAGAACATAAACTTTCATTTATTATTGCAGTAAATTTAAAGCTTGAGCACTTAATGTTCGCTTATTTATTTAACCTTTAAACTTTATCAGATAAAGTGTGCTTTCACACACCAACCACAGAGAAACAGGCAGGCTGTTTCTCTGTGGTTGGTGTGATATGAGATAAACTTCCTTTCTACCAGCGCTATAGCATGCCACAGTCTCTAATGTGACAACTCATGTTGTCTTTCGCTCACTCAGCAGGAAGTGATTGACCGTCCTCCTCCTTCTTCTTCACAGATATTCACACAGACCGAGGAACGTGTGTGTCACTGTGTTTGGTGCAGGGAGAGTCGGCGGTGGAAGATGGCCTGAACGTCACTCCTGAGCTGGATGATGGTCTAATTCACAAGGTACACACACACACACACACATAGACTTTGTGAAATACCACATTAACTGTTGAGGAATTACAGACATTTCTATGCATAGTCCAAAGTTTCAGAGGCTCAAACCTAATTAATCAAACATGATTTTAATTAAAAGAATGAATGAATTTGTAGTGACTGCTTGAAGTTTAGCACCCAAGAACATCACCAAATGCTGTGTTTCCTTCTTTAACATCCTCTGCCAGGACTGTAGAGCAGCTGCTGTTTGTGGGTCTTTATCTTTCACTTCTATCTTCTGTAACTTAAAAGCATGTTAAGTTGAAATCAGGGTACTGACTTGGCCATTGACGAATACGTCGCTTCTTTGCTTTGAGAGGCTCTTGGGTTTTTTCGGAGCTTTTGAGTGCAGACAATTGAGCTTTGAAGTGCAGTGTTTATCCTGCTGGAAGCAGCCATCAGAAGACGGTACACTGAGGTCATACTGGGATGGACACGATCAGCTGCGATAGCTCGACTTATAGATCCCACACCCATACACCACCAGCCTCAGCCTGAGCCACTGACACTGGGCAGGAGTTTACATCAAAGTCTGACCCCGCCACCTGAAGGAAATCCAAACTTATCAGACCACACAACGTGTTTGACATTTGTATGAAATAATGTTGCCGCGTGTTCATAATCAATGCTGTCCTTACTCCCATAACCACACACGCACGCACACATACAAAATATCAGCAGTTTTGGTGCAGCAGAACTTCTCTGCTGTCACAGAGAAATATTTGGAGCTGGTCAGAGTGTGAGCAGTGACTCATTTTTTCTGGAAGAGGCCTTTTCCACCAGCTTTTCTCATAATCCTCCACAGACCACATTCAGCTCTTTCCCTGAGAACGTTTTCTTACAGGGCCCTTTCAAATCACTCCAATGCCCAGCTTCTAAAATATCCTATTATCCTATATTAAAAATCTACTACTGTGTGTGTGTGTGTGTGTGTGTGTGTGTGTGTGTGTGTGTGTGTGTGTGT